TCCTGCCTGGGCAGGAGCAAAGTCTTAATACAAGCAGCAATGCTTGCTCCTGATCCAGGTCCACAGTCTTCCTACCAGCCACGTGGGCTGGTTGGCCCCAAGACAACCTGCAGCAGCTGATCCTCTACCCTTCTTTGGGGCTGAAAGTCTGGATTTGTTGTCTCATCTTCATTCTTTAAAAGGAGGAGCCGAGGTGAGTATCCTAATCTCCTAACAAACAGAGCCTTTGGGGCAGTTGCTGTTCTTATTTTGATCCTTAATCAGTCCAGTCCTGGACAGGGGCTAAATACAGTCTGTCCATGTTGCTGGCATATATATGGAAAGTGGGGGACCGTACAAGTGGGTGTTACAGCATTGTGTCAGTATTGCCCCTTTTTCTCTTCCATTTTGCCGTGGAGTGGTACCAGAAAGGTGGATTTATCAATTATTTACCAAAAGCCTACAGATTAAATAAACATACAGCCTCCTTGCTCCCACCAGCCTGTGACTGTGGGCTCTCCAAACTGCTTGTCTGCATGCCATGTAGCAAAGCCAAAAGGCAGGAAAGCTTCCTGTCCTCACACTGTTGGCATGATACAACCAATGTCCGTGTCTCTAGTATCCCTGAGAAGAAAACTTATGAGGTTTAGCTGAAACTCCTGAGAGCATTCTTGAACGTGGCTTCTGAACACCTCAAAGTGGCAGCTTTTATGTGTGCATGTGTGTCTGTGTACATATTTATGTATACATAAATATAAAAAAATAAAAGTCCTCTTCGACTTCCATTCCTGGAAAGTGGAATATTTCCATCGGGTTTAATAGGAGAGTAGAATTAAGTCCCAGTTCAGGAAAGTGCTTCAGTCCAAGCTTTGAGGAGGTGGCTTGTCCCAGAGACTTCAATTAGGCATGTCAGCAAAAGCTTGCTGACTAAGGACTTCCATAGCTCAGCTGGTGTGGAGGGCAGCATCCAAGCTGGATGCTATAGGATGTTGACCTCTCTCGAGAACCCTGTGCAGCAGCCAACCATCTGCGAAACATGCAGAGTAATCATAATAATTCCCTTGGCAGCCTCTTTCAGAGAGGAAAGGGAAAAGAAAGAGTACAAAAAAGAAGGAACTTCATTTTAGTTAACGTTGAAATACTCCTGTGATTATTGCCTTCACATTTTTTAGTTTGGGGCTATATATTAGAACATTTCTACTCTCAACACCAAATGTTGTAACAAGGTCCTCAGGGCTAATCAGTGGTAAGAGGGGAAAAAGAAAACCCGTTATACTAGTTTTGTATTCTCCCCCATCGACAAAGGTAAATATTGATCCTTAAGAGAAAGTGTGTTTTAGGGGTAGACAGCATTATTTACTAGTTGCCACAAATAGCTTTCATATCTCATTGTAGGGATGGCCAACCTCCCTGACCCCATGAGCAATATACCAAAATCTTCATATGCCTGAGAACCTGTTGTCCCAGAATTTATATGACTCCCCTAATTGGGGAAGGTACAAGTATTAGGGTCGTGTCTGTCTTCTTTCCAGTTAGCTTTACTAAAGCTTTTTTTGGTTGGTTTCTATGGGGAAAGAGGAAGGGAAAGAAGGTTGTGGGTTTTTTTCTTTTCTTTCAGAAGCGCTGATAAATGGGATACACTGATATTGCTACACCTGGTGCACCGAACTCGTCACACCTCTGGAAACACTGGTAATGGCAGTCGTCATTTTGCTGAATGGCTGCCTCTGGTTAGCGACTGCTGGGTAATGGGCAGCATGGTCAGGCCAAAGTTGTTTTACATGGAAGGCCTGTTTACACAGGAGAGGTCAGAGCGTGGTGGTGTCCCCATACGGAGATGAGCCTGTGAGAGTTCGTGAAGCTGACTTTAAAGTAAAGGCACGCTTTAGCAGGTTCAGTTCTGAAATACGTTGCATGTACAAATGGAGGAACAGAAAGTAAAATGAGAATATTTTTCACATACCACATGTAATAACCCTTTAAATACTTTGTGAGCCCTCTAGTGGTGCTCTCCATGCCCTGGAAACCTCCAGGAGCCAGCTGGAGCCAGGTAGCCCTTTTCC